CACGAATAGCAAGGAACAATGTAGCACCACAACTACGTCATTCTTTCGTTATCAACATCCTTTGGAAACCACGTCAGTCTTTCGTTATCAACATCCTTTGGAACCCACAATCTCATTTCAGCAAACTATTGACCAATCCAATCTTTTGCCTCCTCTATTTATTCTTTGATCTCACTGATAGAAGGCCCACAAGAATCATATCCAGGCCCAAGCATTTTAAAGATTTCATTCTCAATTAATGTTTGATTTAATGTATTCTTTATTTTCCTCTCTTTTCAACCTGGCCCAATATTAGACCCATTAGGGTTTTATTTTTGGAGTTATATTTAAACTATTGTTGTGAAATGAAGAGTAGAAAATTATAACACAAATTATTTCTTTTTTCTTGCAATTAATTTTGTTTGTATCCTTTGTATGAACCCTAGATCTAGGATTAAATAGTTGTTGTAATACCTTTCTATAAAATTAGTGCTTTCATCTTGAATTCATGGCCCCCCAAAACCACAAAACCCTAAAGACATTGTAGAGGAAGTTGTCCAAACAGCACAACTCCATGTTAACAATGTTATGCAATACAATCGGCTGCTCTTGGGTGAGAGATTTGATAAAACTGATGTTGATATGGAGCAACTTCATACTAGAATGGATAATGAAAAAAGTTGTAGATTCTAGATATGAAAATATTACGGGTTTGCGCATAGTTAGCCACCAAAACGGAAAAACAGCCTGCTGTCACTATTCCCGCGGCTACTATTCACGCTGGTACTGTTCATGGTGGTACTGTTCATGGTGGTACTGTTCATAATGTTACTATTAACTCAGCAAACTCTTCAGGTATTACAAAAAGCCCTTATCTCTTCCATATGAATACAAACCTGCACTCTCCTCAATCCTCCCTAAATTTTACACACCCCATGTCAACACCTCTTCATGCAACCACCCTTTCTCACAACCCGCCACCACCACCCAATTTTACCTCAGTTCGAACTACATCCACACCGTTCCATAGACTATCTTCCATACAACCATACCTTGATTCTCCTTACTATATATCACCACCTCTCTTTACTACAACCCAACCATTATCCATTCCCTAATTTCCCCACATTCCTTATTCCCAATACCCTTAGATCCCACCACTTCCCACTTTCCGCACACCGAAACTCGAACTTGTAATGTTTGATGGATCAAACCCGTTAGAATGGTTGTTTCAAGGGGATCAATTCTTTACTTTCTATAATTTACCGCCCGAAAACCGTTTAGAAATGATATCATTTTATATGAAAGGTGAATCTCTTTGTTGGTTTAAGTGGATGTATCAAAACCATCAACTAGTGGATTGGACATCCTTCACTAATGCCTTAGAATTACGTTTTGGTTCCTCTACATACACTAATCACCAAGCTGAGTTGTTCATACTCAAACAAACCCATTCTGTTGTGGAATACCAAGCTCAATTTGAAAAATTGGGAAGTCAGGTTTTTGGCTTATCTCACGATGCTATCCTCAATTGTTTTGTTTTGGGTTTGGCACCAGAAATTCAAAACGAAATTGCTATCCACAAGCCTATCTCTATATCTCAAGCCATTGGGCTTGCAAAGATGATCACATCCAAGATAAGAGATGTCAAGCCTAAATTTCACAAACCTTTTTCACCTAACCCCACCAGTTCTAACATAACAAACCAAAAAACAACTAACCCCTAACCTATCTCCAAATTTGTCACCCTTGCCCAACAATCCAAACTACCTATTCGACACATATCCAATGTTCAATTACAAGAGCTTCGTGCCCAAGGGTTATGTTTTAATTGTGATGAGAAATTTATCCCTGGCCATAAATGTACTACTGGAAAATTTCTCTTATTAGTCGAGGATGACGAAGATGTTATCACTTCAGATCCAACATAAAGTTGTGATAAGCTTAGTCTGAACCTGGAACAGAATGATACATATTTCTAGTTGTCTCCTCAAGCCGCCAATGTCCATTTCTCTCCTAAGACATTTAAATTTAAAGGATCCATCAATGGCCTATCTGTCACTATTCTAATTAATACAGGCAGTACCCACAATATTTTATAGTCGCATATCGCACACCATCTAAAACTACCTACCAACCCAATCCTAAATTTTCCTGTCATGGTTGGTAATGGATCAAGGTTATCATGTTTGGGAATCTGCCCAAAAGTGCCTATTAAGCTACAAAACAATGCTTTTTTTATCCCTTTTCACTTACTTCCAATCGAAGGTGCAGATGTGGATCTAAGCATGGAGTGGTTACAAACCCTAGGACCTCTAATGGAAGATTTCTCAATTCCTACAATTTCTTTCACTTGTAACAACAATAAAATCACTATAGCTGGTGACACCAAAACCCTTATCACCCCATCCTCTTACAATAATTTTTGCCACCTTTTACAAACTAATTTCTTTGCCTCTATCCACCTTTTACTCTATCATCCCTCTAATGATCCAACCAACAGTTCTGAAATCACCAGCAATACCTTTGAAACTCTTCCCAAAACACCCCCCACCAAATATCTTCTATCATTAGATCCTATGCAACCATATTTGACAAACCCCAAGGGGTTCCCCCATCTAGACCCCATGACCATCGAATTCCTATTATTCCAAACACTACCCATATTAACGTGAAACCGTATCTCTACCCCCATTCACAAAAAGACGCCATGAAAACCATTATCAAATACATGCTACATGAAGGTATCATCAAACCCAACAATAGTCCATACTCTTCCCCAGTCTTGTTGGTTAAAAAAAAATACGATTCTTGGCGTTTTTGCATCGATTATAGAGCACTCAACGCAATTATAGTCCGTGATCGTTTCCCAATTCTGACTATTGATGAATTCTTTGATGAGTTGGGTTCAACAACTATATTTTCTAAGATTTACTTGCGTTCTGGTTACCACCAGATCCAGGTAACTTTGGAGGATACTCACAAAACTGCATTAAGGACATTTGACGGGCACTACGAGTTTTTGGTGATGCCTTTCGGCCTAACTAATGCTCCTAGTTATTTTCAATCGGCCATGAATGACTTGCTACGACCTTATTTAAGACGATTTGTGTTAGTTTTCTTTGACGACATCCTCGTTTATAGTTCTTCAATTTCTTATCATGCCAAACATTTAAAATTGATTTTAGATTTATTGTTGACTAATCAGTTTTATACAAAATTATCCAAGTGTATTTTTAATGTTCCTACTGTTGATTATTTAGGTCACATTATCTCAAGTGATGGTGTAACCCCAAATTTGGAAAAAATTAAAGCTATTCTAGATTGGCCGAGGCCACGTTCACTCACGACACTCAGGGTTTTTTTAGGTCTCACCAGCTTTTATAGAATATTTGTATGTCACTATGCCACACTCGCCGTTCCTCTCACCGACTTATTAGGTTCCCTAAATTACATTGGAGTACAAAGGTAGAAAAAGCATTTACAACATTACAAACTAAAATGACTGAAACACCAGTCTTGTGCCTTCCAGATTTCTCTCTTCCTTTTATGCTGCAAACTGATGCGTCTGTGGTTGCTATTGGAGCTGTATTATATCAGCAGGGACACCCCATCGCTTTCTTCAGTAAAAATATGTGTAAGCTCCTTCGAGCTTCTTCTATCTATGTTCGAGAAATGTTCACCATCATAAAATTTGTCAAGAAATTGAGACAATACTTAATTAGAAGGCATTTTCACATATATAAAAATTAAAAAAGCCTAAAGAACTAGATGGTGCAAACCATACAAACTCCAGAAATACAAAAATGGTCTGCTAAATTGCAAGGATTTCAGTTTGATATTCATTACAAACGTGGATGAGCTAATCAAGTTGTGGATGCCCTTAGCAGAATCCAACTTGAAGAAGACGCTTGTCTCTTATCAATCTCTTCCCATATTCCAGTCATTGTGTAGCAGCTGAAATCACATTATCTGTCAAATGAAAATGGCAAGTTACTTATCAGCAAGGTTATGGACGATACATATATACAACACAATTTTTAGCTCAAGGAAGGCTTGGTCTATTATAAAGACAAAATATATCTACTTGATATTCTAGATCTACGGAGTAATATCATCATAGAATATCATTCCACTCCTACAGAGGGTCACTCCGAACTTTAACCCTCTCTTGCTCGTATATCTTCTTCTTTCATGTGGCTTGGAATTTACAAGGACACGGAGGTTTTTATTAGATCTTGCATAATTTGTAAACAAAATAAGTACATGACATGAAAGAAACTGGGACTATTACAATCTCTCCCTAAACCTACTCAGGTTTGGAACTACTTGAGTATGTACCTCATTGCTCACCTACCAAACTCTCACAGCCACACAATAATATGGGTTGTATGCGATAGGTTAACAAAGTTTTCCCACTTTATTGCTCTTCCCTCCAAATTATCTTCCAAGGACCTTGCCCTCCGCTTCTTCGTAGAAATTTGTCGGTTGCATGGCGTCGCTCAATCTATTGTGTCTGACAGAGACCCTATTTTCCTATTGCTTTATGGAAGGAACTTTTCGTGCACAGGGTACCACTCTGAAATACAGCTCCACCTATCACCCTGAAATAGACGGTCAGACAGAGGTAGTTAACAGATGCTTAGAAACATATTTGCGTAGCTTTACTAGTCATAATCCTAAAAAGTGGTTTAATTACTTACACTTGGAGGAATTCTGATTCAATACAAGCCATTATTCATACATTAAGATGTCCTCATTTGAAGCCTTGTACTACAAGACTCCCTCCTCTTTTTCCTTCTTACACGGCTGGATCTGCCTCCATCGAGTCACTGGACAATTCTCTACAACAAAGACAGGAACTATTACAAACCCTATAATTTAAACTTACAAAAAGCAAACAAATAATGGGGCTACAAGGTAACAAACACAGATGAGATTGTACCTTCGAGCTCGGAGATCGTGTTTTGTTGAAACTGCAACCATACAGACAAACCTCAGTGAATCGGTGGTTATCTCATATGTTATCAAAGAGATACCTTGGGCCCTTCAAATTACAAGGAGAATCAGATCCGTCGCATACGAGCTTTCTCTCCCACCGTCATCATAGATTCATCATGTCGTCCATGTATCTTTGTTACGCCCTTTTTATGATCGGAACCCCTCAAACCCTCTATTTTCCATTCCGCCTGAGTTTGAACCAACAAATGAGGAAACTGAGATTGTTGCCGACACAGAGTGCCACGGGTGACTGATACGAGACTCTCAAGGTATCTGCGACAAACCCATCCTTTCCAAGAACAATAGATGACACAGAACTAACAGATCCAACAGAAGGGCAGGATCTCTTTGTGATTTGGGAGCAAGGAATGGTACCACTCCAGAAGAATCACATGCATCTGACAGAGAGAGTTTTTCTGAGTATTCGAAAAAGATGTTAGAAACTAAAAATGATATATAAGTACCTACAAAGAGTTCTTTAATCTCCAACACTCAACCGCACCATTCCAATATCTCTTCTGTGAGCAAATCTGCACCATCCGTTGCCCCACCTGCCACAAAATCCAATTCTCCACCCTTAGATGCAAATATCAATTCACATGATAATAACTATTCACATGCTATTGTTTCTCCCTATTCCATGCCTTCTCACAACCCTAGGAAATTTAAACCACTTTCAAGGCCACCTATTCCCCATGCAGTACCTCAGTTCACTTCCCAACATTCCATTCTTCCACGCGCCCTTCAAAGTAATCCAGTTGTGTCCCACTCCACTATACCCAATTCTCAGCATAAGGCACATCTGAATGGGCCTTTAAACTGGGCCTCCAAATTGAATAAAAAAAATTTCAACCTCATCCTTGAGGACAAGGACGTTTTTGGGCCGGTGAGTAGTGATAGAAGGCCCACAAGAATCACATCCAGGCCCAAGCATTTTAAAGATTTTATTCTCAATTAATGTTTGGTTTAATATTTTTCTTTATTTTCTTCTCTTTTCGGCCTGGCCTAACTTAGGCCCATTAGGGTTTTGTTTTTGGAGTAGTATTTAAACTATTGTTGTGGAATGAAAATTAGAAAATTTTAACCCAAATTATTTCTTTTTTCTTGCAACTAGTTTTGTTTGTATCCTTTGTATGAACCCTAGATCTAAGATTATATAGTTTCTGTAATACCTTCTTCAATTTCTTCGAGTAGACAAAAGTTTTTCCTCCAGTGGAGTTTGTAACACCCTTCTAAACCCCAATGAATATTCATAATTATTATAATAAATAAATCAGAGTATATCACCAACAAGGGTGTCAAATCTTCATATAAAATATCATAATGACACATTTTGCTTCGTAACACGGGTTTTCAAAATCTTTAACAAGATATAGTCAACATTTAGTTCTTTGAATCATGGCAGCGGAAATCATAGTTCAAAACACCTTATTATAATACTTCATAAAATTCAGTCATACTTCATAACTCATACTTATAAATCAAAATATCTCGAGTACCATGTAGGGTGCTTGAACATCTAAAAATAAAACAAAGAACATAAGTTCCAATCATTCAATCCCAACCCCGATGTTACATATAAAACTTTTGTAACTGGTTTTAAAATGAGAGTCGCCACCCTTAATTTTTATTCTAAGGAAGGGAATAAAAGGTTAACCCTAAAAAAGTTAGAGATTCTAGGTTTTTGACTCGGTTTTAGACAAAGGGAAGGTGTTAGGCACCCTTCATCTACCTTGTTCATAAGGATACTAGGGTTTAGATTTTAAAGGTTTAAGGTAAGGGTTTTAATTTTTATTAGGAGAACTTGCTATGATTTTAGTTGTATGCCTACGTATCCTCTTATGTGGAATCAAAGTCCCAATTTTGTAGTTCGTGGTGTTTGGTTAGTTTTTTTATGGGTCGTAGAAATATCTCGAATTCTCCTTGAACCAAGTCTGGTTTGTAAATCACGGAATCGTAGACGTAGCTCGCAGTCAATAAAGACATTGATACAACCCTTTTTTTAAATAAAAAAAAAGATATAAAGTGAATTAAGTTAGTAAAAAAATGTTAGGGTTTGTTGGTTATATGTTTTCTATTATATGATGCAATTGTAAAAATAAATCTGAACGCCAAAAAAGAATTTAATGCAAAAAGGGTTAGTATTTTGAAAAAAAAGATTTAATTTACAAATAGCTATTTTATAATTTTATTAAAAATATATCAAGTATTTTTTTTATAAAACTATTATAATTATTCATTAATTCTAAAAAATTATTAAAAAAAAACAAATATATAGACAAATCAAATTATAACAAAAATAAGTTAATTTATTTAAATGCAGGGGGTACTGACAATCTTTTGTCTTGTCAGCTCCGGGCTTTGTAAGAGAAGATCGAGGACGTCTGATGCCCCCATCCTTGAAGTTGGTATTAGAGCACCAGGCCAGGATGCGCTCGCAGGATGCGGCCAACCGAGTGTACTCTATGAATCTCCCAGCGGGTCCCCGGTGATCACGGGGATCGCACAGTTTATCATCCTTTCTCTTCTCGCCGGTTCATCGAGAAGGTCCCGCGTCCTGGTGTCGTGGGGTGTTAGCTGGTCCGTGATTCCTTGATTCACACGCTTTATTTGCTGCTTCCTTCTCCTTGTAGTCCGTGTAGGCCCTAGATTTTTCGAGGAGAGCGTTAAAAGACTGGGGTAGTTCGATGCTGGCGGCCTTTCTAAACTCAGTGCCCGGTAGGAGTCCTCTCTCGAGCAGGTACCTTTTCATGTGATCGGTACATGGGACCTGAATGGCCTCGCGGTTGAACTGATCAATGTATTCCCTGAGGGTCTCGTCGCTTCTCTGGATGATAGCCTCAACGGCAGCCTCAGTCTTCGGGTATCGATGAGATGTAGCGAATGAGCTAATGAACTAGTTCTTGAGGTTTCTCTAGGAGGTGAACAACCCTGGGGCGAGGCTCTTGTACCAGTCCATGGCTGTTTTTCTCAAGGTCGTGGAGAACAACCAACATTTTATCAGTCCCCTGACATTATGGTAATGGAGCATTTCCTCAAACCCATCAATGTGGTCGACAAGATCCGCAATGTTGTCGTATTCCTTCAGTTGGGGAGGTTTCTCCATTCCTCTAGGAATGGGCGCCTCCATGATAGCCTAGGATAAGGGACCGCGGGGGTTATCTTTGTCGCTTCTGTATGGGGAGCGGGAGGGGGATCAGGTTGTAATGGTGGTAGGCATCAGAGATGATCCCTTGGTCGAGGTTGTGTTTCTCTGTTTCCCCTGTTTTTATTTTCAGGGGATCACCGTTCCCTGTGCGGAGGGGTGAGGCCGTGTCTCCCGGTGGCTTCGGGAAGTGTTCTCTCCAATGCGGGGCATCACCCAGTCCATCAAGGAGAGAGGCTTCGCGATCTGTCCCGTCTGTGTCTTCGCGGGGGAGATTAAGGATGGTCTTCATTCTGACGAGGAAGAGGAGTGTCAGGTCTCTTGTGTCTTCTGGGGGGCCGGAGAGTCTGTTCGAGCACCCTCAGCCGCTCACCCTATGATAATATCAAGTAATTTGTTTGGTTTATGACCGCGAACAGAGCTCTGGTCGTGGCATCAACGCCCGCAGGGAAGAGTACCTTCTGGAAAGCATTTTGTTCATATTTATGGGGGGGGGGAGGGACAAACATCCTCGTGTGGTCGAGATTGGGATGATGAAGATTCGGTTAGCCCGTCTCTGTATTTTTGCTCGAGGCCGACCATGTCGATGTTGTTCCCAGTGTTGTTGTTACTAATGTTGTTGTCGATGTTATTATTGAAGTCGGCGAGATGGGCGTTTTGGTTGTTGTTTGGAACTTGGTAAGCCATGGAAATCATATAGTTTATTGAAGGGTTGCTTTAGTCATGAGATGGAGACAGGGAAACTGGTTCCCAAAGATGGCTCCACTGATCATACCTGACCAGAAGGGATTTTTAAAGCCCATAAGCTTCAAGTCGAGCAGCGGTTGGATGTGAAGTGGAGGGGGGGAGGGGGTACCAACAACACACTCCGATGCCAAAGTGAGGCTCAGACCAATGCAAGAAATTATGAGAGTGAGTATGAAAGAATGAATACCCAACCCTCTCAAGTGAGAGGGTATTTATAGCCCCCATCGTTGGGCCAAGATCCCCATCGTTAGGCTTGGCAAGGAGGCCTAAAGTAGAGACTTCCAGGTCCTACGTGCGTAGTGGGTGCCCACTCGTGGTGCTGAACCTGGATGGACTCCTCCAAACTATCAAGAGAATATGGATGCAGTCTTATCAGGGCAAGGATGACTCCGTGATATTCGGAGGTGTTGAGAGTTATCCCTACGAGGAGTATGCTTGCGAGGTACTTCTGTCCATCATGGACCCTCCCCGCGAGCTGTGAGGTTGTCCCTGGAGGACTTGTCTTGGTCGATAAGAAGAGTGGGATAAGCTTGCAATGCCCTCTTGATCATCCTCAACCCTCCTTGCTATTTCTGGGGTTGTCCCTGTAAGTCAAAGCCATGTAGACCAGAAGGGTGAGGTTATCTAGTCGAGGGCAGTCATCATCGGTAGGCTATTCGATGTAGCACAGTCGTATTGGGCCTTGTATGATGTTTGGGCCAAGTGCAGGCCTAATCCAGAACAGATGCCAAGAAGAAGGATTGCAAGGCTGCATATTACATTCAATTAGTGGTAGATTCAGTGAATTTCGAGAGAATCTCTCATGTTGAATCAACAAAGAAGGCATGCGACATTCTCCTTAAGTACTATGAAGAATGTGAAAAAGTAAAAATTGTTAAATTGTAGACTTTATGACGACAGTATGAATTGTTGTGGATGGGAGAAAATGAAAAAATTGCAGGCTATGTGTCAAAAGTGTATAATCTTGTCCATCTCATAAAGGGTTATGGTGAAACCCTAAGTGATAAGATAATAGTTGAGAAGATAATGTGTATATTGACCTCTCACTTTGATCACATTATCGTAGCTATTCAAGAATTTAACATTCTTGAAACCCTAAAACTGGAAGATTTGGTTGGTTCATTGGAGGCGCATAAGATTAGGATTTTCGTAAGGAAATGGGTCTAAGATTTGATACAAGCTCTGCATGCTCAGGCATGTAAGAAGGGTGGTGGTTCCAACAAATTCAAAGGAAAAGGAGAGAATACTCAGAGCAAGAAGTCTTGGTCGAATCCCCATAAGAAAAATGTCAAAGATAGGGTTTTTGAATCTTCGAAAAGAGGAGAAGAAAACTCCTATCTGAAAGACAAAGAAGAGAAAAAA